GGGGGTCATTTGATTACAAATTTGTCTGTTGCTCGGTTGAAGTGATAAGAGATGGTGGTGAAAAATAGTCCTTTTAGTCTGGGGTGTCCAGAGGCCTGGTGCAGGCGGTCACTTATCTTCCCGTGGGTAGTCACGGGCAGTCACAGTCATTGGTTGGGTTACCAATTCTGTCCGGGTACACTTGGCTGTCAGGTGGTTGTTACAGTTGGTCTTTAGTTCCTTGATCAATTCCGAAGAGTCCGATTCGTCTTTTGTTGTTTGGTTTTGGATTTGTCATTTGTTGAGAGGATGATTGATCAGGTAGTGGTTCATTAGTTATGTTTGGTTCTTCAGGGGTTCCGGAGTCAGTTTGCTGGGGGTCCAATTGGGAGAGAGGATTGAAGGGGTTCAAGGATTCGATAAGTTTACTTTCGTCTAGAGGTTGGGGTTTGGCTCCTTTTGTAACCAAACGGAGGCCGACATCCGTCAAGAAAACTTTGGATGGTTGGTCAGGAGTCGGAAGAGGGGTCAAGAGAGCGTCGGAGGTTGCGCTGCGCTTGTCGGGATACCTCATCGTTAGCGTTGGAGTTTCCCGCATCGGCCATTTCTTCCTCTCACATCTCCGTGTCCGAGGGCGGCAGCGGCTGGAGCCGCGCCGCCTCCAGAAGTAGTTTGTTCTGCTCCTGGAAGCGGCGGTTGCTCTACGCAAGGATTCTACGAAATAGACTCTTTGGGATGTTATAAAGTGAGAGGCGCCTCCGCTCGATAGCTTACACTGTTTAGAAACGTTATTAGAACTAAGGTGAATACTTAAAAGAGCTTGCGGTACGCTTTTGGCTCAATAAGCGTTGCAATGATGATAACGTGATCTTCACTGCACGGGCGCTGCTCGCTCAATACCTGTTCCCAGGGGCATTCATCGGTTGTTCTTTATTATGTCTTGTGGCATATCGTCCCACCAATTTTCAATTTGATTTAATATGAATTTCTTACGCTGGAAGGTTTTGAACTTAGTTTTAAATTGTGCCCTCCGAAACGCGTGTAATTAGAACGTGTATAAATGTGATAGTGGACCAATATTGTAAAAGCCTTTTTAAGAATTCTGTTACATTGATCTATCGACGAGTACTGAACGACTTCATTTCTAGGATTTGGAGCCTAAGTTCATATGCAAGTATTATCTAATCAACTGGGATATGTGATCTTTTCCCAATGTTCTCTCCGTGAGATCTACATCCTTTATGAGAAACGGCGATCTTTTTTTTAAATATTTTTATTCTCTCTCAAGAAATAGTGTCTAATTTGCCTGATATAAAGGGCGAGTCACGTAACTTCAACTCTTCCTGCAACTCTTCTTTGAACGATTGAAGTTATTGCAATGCAGTTTTCACTGATGTGCAGGTGGGAATCAGGCTGATTGATACATGTATTATTTATATTTCTTTATGACTTGTATTCTACGTGATATTGAGGTAAGTTTTTTCTTAAATGGAACTATGCATATTTTTTAGACGAGCGTAAAAAGACGAATCCAATGATATACGTACTGTCGTATGTTAGATAAGCTTTTCTAAGCTTGCTCTTGTTTAACGGATATTTTTAATGTAACAGTCCGCCACTGAAGGTCACGCAGCGCTGCTCTATTAACGCACTAGGGAAGTTTATACGAAACTTATTCCAAATTTTGACAAAACTGTTGTTAGTTTTTTCCTGAAGTCTGCTTTCCAGCCTTCTTCGTTCACAGATTCTTGTATGTATTGTAACCCTTGGGCTGAAAGAAACAGTTTGTTTATTTGACGTTAGCAGTGGAAGGGAGAATCCAAGACAAAACTCGAATGATAACGTGAAGCACTTTAGTGAATTTCATCCTGCTGAATATTCTGGTCAGTCGATTTTTACTGGCGGATGTGAGTGAGGTAGATGTGCAAGTTGGTACATAATTTAGTCTGTCAATCGTGTAGTACGTTTATATTAAGAGATCAAAGTGAATGTCAGGAAAAAGAGTAAATAATCAAAAGTGACGAAAGAAAAAACAGTTTTAATAGAATTCGAGTACTTAAAAGGAAAACTTCCAAAACGTAATCAATATTTTGTTCTGTGTGAACTTGATAGAGTCGAGTCAATCTTCAATACAGATACATTACATTGCAGATGGTCGTGGCAGAGCTACAGACATCAGCAGACGCCCTTTCTTTAGAACTTCAAAGGAAGACAAGAAAGGAGAAATAACAAACCAGAGAAAAATGTCAACTGGAATAAAATATGAAAATGTAACGAAGCGAGGTGTGAGAACAGTGACGAAAAGAAGAATGACAATTTTGTTTTTTACAAAGACGACGCAAACTTCATGCGTTTCTATTTTAAACAATTTTTTTCCTCAAATGGCTCAAACGTTGTTATTAAATCTTGTTGTTGGGGTGTGATGGACGTTTAAGAGCATGTTGCAGGCGTTGCATACTGTTGCGAAAAAACGGCGAATTTTTGGCGGAAAAACTCTTATTACAGGGCTCTAGTAATAAAAACGTGAATAAATCCTGTTGCTAAATTTAGGAAAAAAACTCCTCTCTTACGTGGTGTAACCAGAATCCATGTTTTGTGGGTCCTTGATACCGAAAAATTGAATGACGGCAATACATAGTCTAGCTGTTAAACCGTTCAGCAGATTTTCTCAAAAATTGATGTTCACCAAGAGTCTTTGTGATGTCCTTCTTCTTTTGGCTGTGCATATCAAGGCTGCTCTAACGGATCCCATGAAAAATTATATTTCTAGCTACGAAATTATTTCATCAATTTATTCAGTAATTTGTGTTGTCTGCTCAGCAATATCTACGCCCATTATTTGTGTGTCAAGTGTGTTGTCGGGTTTTGTTTGACCATGTTTGGGTGTCGCATACCAAAGAATCTTAGTGCTTTGTGGGGGTATTAATATCTTGTCTTAATTTTACTGAAACACATTGCTTTGAAATGTATTGTAAAGAATCTTAAGTTGATGTAGCGTACCTCGTCTAGTTGAAAATTTTTAATCCCTAAAGTACTTTTGATGTGGAGGTGATGTTGAGTAGGTGCGGGTGAGGGTGTGTACATGTATTCAAAGAAAGGAGTGAATAAAAGAAAATGCAACTAATTGAATGAAAGATGGAGAGAATTGTTAATAGTCTGGATTTCTAAAGAGTATTTGCATATCTTTAATCGATTTTTGAGACCATTGCATTTACTTCTAAAGTATAATTTCATGAGAGTTAAAAAGACAGCCAAAAAGTAATTTTCATACCACAAAAAATTATTTCAGCACTAGTGCATGGAAACTAGTTCTTACCTTTATTGTTTATTGATAGGAAAGTGTTACTGTGCAGTACACATACTGCAAAGTAGACTTTGCCATACATATATCGCAAGGACATCTTGGCCATTTAAAACAATTGACTACAAAATAGCAACACACTGGAGTGATATGAATGAACATGGCAGCCATCTTGTGTTTTCACAATTATTCTAGGATTAAATTTGTAGAAGTTTCTGTGAATTTGTGGGGGGGGGGGATGCAAGTCATCCGAAAATATCTCTTAGTGTACTCCTTTCAAAATGCTTGACAAGGTGAAAGGAGCCTCATCTGTCCACATTTCGGTTATTTGCCAATCTCTCTCTTTCTGTACTAGTTATGTCAATATCTATTATTTATCTTAACCCATTAACACCAGAATCAATTTTGCTCACAGAACGCTTGCCGATTGTTATTGTTCCATGTGTACAGAGCCATTGTTGGAGCTATCTGGTAACGTCTGTTAGCAACTTTTATCTCTAAATCATTGTCATGCTGCTAAATAATGCCAATAGAGTCCTCCAAAATGCCAACCACACCATATACAAACTTATTTTCAGCAAGAAGTAAGCAAAACTGTTAGGCCGTAGTAGCGTATGTCAGCGTAGCAGCTTAGTGGCAGTGCAGACCAACAATTTGCTTTACACCGGTCTCTCCCTTCAACTTACCCAGAGGCATGTGGCAACTAAGTATGGTTTGAGTAGATGTTTTGAACTGTAGCAAATCATGATCCACTCTGGTCAGGAGCATATAATGCTTTAACAGTATCATATCTCATCAGTCTTCACTAAATCAACGTCTAGCATTCAGGAAATCCTAAACTTGCTTTCATGTTTTATGTAGTAAGCATATGCCTATTGAGCAATTAAATTTCACAAAGTGGTAAAGAAGCAAATTTGAATTGAGCAGATGTGCATGCTCAAATGAGGATACTGGTGGTTAGTGGTTTAAGTGTATGATGTGGCTATGCTGGCAGAATGTTTGGAGGCTTTTATTATAGAGATTCAGATGTAGCTCATGGATATTGTTCCATTCCTTATTAATAGCACATGGAAATTTTACTTTTTTCGGCAAAGACTAGTCCAAGATCATTATATTCTTGGGACATTCAGTGAGCACGTAAGAAAAAAATGATTATTCATTTTTCTCCATCTTGAATGATTTATATACTGCTGGCCTAGTAATAGACAGGATGAAGTTTGGTTTCTATTTGGCAAATTGAACATGAACTCAATGATCATTGTAAGTAGTATGATATATTGAAGTAATTGGTTCTTTTTTTGTTCCATGTAGTGGTAATGATATGTATAACTTTCTTTTTTGCTTTCAGAAGCAAGCTGACCAGCTCAGTATGATTTCCTTTGTTATCTTTTGTCACTACTTGATGAATTTGGGACTTACTCTTCCCTGTTTCTTCTAAACTGTTCTGTACAATATGAACATTCACCTAACACTTATCTTTTGGAAGCTAGGAGCTGCTAACTAACTGATTCACTCCAGTCACTCCCTCTTCTGGTTGAGGTAGAGCAGAAAACATTGTCTGTATATTTAAATAAAAAAAAGTATTTAAAAAGGTGCCTGCAGGTCTGGCAAAATTCCTGGTATCTTTAAAGGATGGCCTGCCAGCACCATTCAATAAGTGATAGTGGCAAGCGTTGATGACAACTGGCACGTTAGTCGACACGTCCATGTTGTTGTGCAGTCCCCTGAGCGGCAGCTTGGTTGCGAGCCCCCACGGCGCTCGAAGAGCTTTGAAGAGCGGGAAGAAGAGTACGAAAGGGCACGCCAACGAATCTTCCATCACCACCACCACTATAATCATCCACCTAACAATCACCAACACCGGTCATCTAGTGGAGGTGCAACAGTCAGTCCTCCCTCCACCACTACCACAACCACCACCAGCGGCAGCGGGCCTGCTGCTTCTGTTTGCCACGTGGGTATTGTTGTCTGTCTCTGTTCATCCACTGTTGTTCCCTTTGTTGACCCCTTCCTGACAATCAAGAGTTCAGAGGAGTAATTTGTATGCAAATTAGTGTCTGAATTTTTGATTTGTTTATATGTCAGTGAATGTTGTGTTTCAGTTTCAAAAGCTAGCTTTGAAACTGCAGTAGAAGTAAACCAATAGATTGTTGTTGATATTGTGGATTGGAGTTCACATTGGTAGTGTGTTGAATAGCTTTATTTTGTGATGTCTAGTAATTTTATCTGTTGCTACTTTAACTCTCCTCATCTCATTTTATCCTCCAATAATGTTTAGTAATGTTATTGTGATGTTAATGTTTGAACATAATTGTATATTAACTAACTTAATAGATGATATTTGTGAGAACACTGTGAAATAGAAGTTATGAATTAGGATTTATATACTGAACTCTGAAATTTGAGCTGATCCCTTCAAATTTCATAGTTTCAGCATGTTGGTCTGTTATTGGAAGTCTGAGAATAGTTAGAAGGAAAACGTAGTATGTTCCTTCCTGGTGCAAAGGTAAACTATAAACGCATGTTGAATTTATGTTTCAGTATAGTTTGTTTGTATGAAGAAAATGGTGAACACATTTGTTTTTATTTGTGAATAGTACTGAATCCCTTCTTTTCTTCTGTTTTAATGAGTAGATTTATGTTTCATAAAAAGCATGTTTTGTGTATTTTTTCACTTCAGTAGAATGAATGCAAGTTGCATCAGTGTGTTAATTGCATGTTGGCTTCCCAAGTTTCCAATGTTCATACTTTCTGGAAACTGAATCGTACAAAGTGAAAGAAATGATTGGGGGATTATAAATAACTTCAGTGTGTTAAAAAACGGTGTGCAAAAGGCTCTTTAGTTAATTGAATTTTTGAATTGACACTTTATTTCCAAAATTGGATTTTCAATGTTCAATTTCTTTGAGACTTGACTTTCTGCCCCAGGCAATTACTTCTCATATTACACCCTTACAAAATCCTGTATTTTAAGTAAAAGTCACATATGTTAGTGTAATTTCTAAAGGTTTTGTTTCTTTTTACTGAAGAATATATTGATTGTAAAAATATATTGTTAATGTGCGCTGTTGTAAGAGTTTTGAAATCAGTTTTGGAAAGGAATAGCATATTCCAGTGCAGCAACGTTGGGAAGACTGGTACGAGAATTTACCACTACTTATTAGCTTCCATGGAAGTTTCCATACTGGACTTGGCAAATTATTTTGTGTTTCTTTGTTTTGTTTTTTAATGTTTTCATTTTCATTTCCATCTTGTTTATTTAATTTTCATGGAAGAGATAATTAACTAATGAATAGTTTTGAATTATTCTGTGCTTATTGGTAGACAAGTAAATGTTAAATTTTACAATTTATGAATATACATGGCCCTTGCTTAGTAATTATAATAAAAATGTACTTATAAATACAAATATTTCTATCTTGGGAACACAGTCATTTAAAGAACCTGGAGGTGACAGATTAAAATAACGTGACTGGTAGAAAACAAGGAAAGAGGAAATTGCAGGAGGGGGAGATGAGATTCCAGATAGGAAGATTATTATTTGTTAAACTTGGCACGTTCATGATCTTCCCACTTACATGCACACTCTTAAGCAGAACTGAATCAAATACACAATTAGATATAAACAGTAAATTAATGATCTATTTTTTCAAAATATGCAATATTACTTGATCATTAAAACAATCCACTAAATTAAGAATATATGCAATGAATATTTCATTGGAGATGTACTAAAGCATTTTGAAAGAGGGGCAATTCATAATATTAATGAATGAAACATTCAAAATGAGATTAGTGAAAATTATTTAAAGGTTAAAATTCATAATTTCTTTTTATAGACAATGTGGAATGGTAGAAGCTGTGTAGTGTGAGTGAATTGGTGAGAGACTTGTGCCTTTAAGAAAATAATGAAAGAAATGAAGACACCCCATGCAGATCGACTCAATGTCTGAATTTTACTGAGGATTTCATGTTTGATTATAATTTTTTAATTAAAAGGGAGTTTTCTTGGTTATAAGGTAATTTCCTGCATCCACATAATTGTAACATATAGTCTGAGTAATCCAAGCAAGTTTTTTCTATTTTTCATTTTATTTAATTATTAATATTTTATTTTTAAAAATAATTTTTCAGTTTTATTACTTTTGCTTTAAATCTATGCTGCTCAGAAATATTTTTTCTTGTAGTCTTCTTTAGCAATAGAAAATTTAAAACTGACTGAGTCTCTATGAAGTATGGTGCTATTGGAACGACATCTGGCAGTACAAATCAATAGTTTTCATAGCATGCAATTTGGATTTGCAGATCTGAACTTGAAAAAAAATACAATATTATTATCTAATTCTTGCTTTGCGAGCCTTGTAAACTAAGAACAATTACCACACATGCCAATTTCAGTAAAACATTTTCGACAAATAAACTATTGCAGTTATGAGATATATTCATGTACAAATATAAAGATGCTGATATGCTACATAAAAACTAATGCAGATCCATGTAAATGATATGCAATAACTTGTTGACTCTCCACAAAATGTGAATACCTCTGAAAACAAAGTGGACATAATCTTTGATACACACATTGGAGGAACTATTCCTGTAGGGATGTGGCAACAGTTGCAATTAGCTGGAAAAATTTTACCTGGTGGCTCCTTCAGGGGCGCCCTAAAATTGCTTGACTGCCCTATAAAGGTTTGCGGTTTGAGAACCTGTTACTGATAATAAAAGAAATTATGAAATGAAAATAAAGTTAAATTTAGTATTTAAGAAATAAAACTGTTCTACTCTTCATTGTAATGAATTATTACATGAGAGTTTGATTTCGTCCAATCATTTTTGACAGGTTGCATCTAATTAATTATAATAACCTACATGTTGTATAATGTTAAGTTTTCTTGTAGCAAGAATTTAAAATATGCTTTGCTTGCATTTATTAGGCAGCTTGGTTTGGCTTGGCTTTTGGATTGGATTGTTGTGCATCTTGTGAACTAATCCTTTTTATCCATGTCATATTTCCTTATTAGCAATTTGTTTTGCTTCCTTCTGTTACATCCATTTTGTATTATACCTTTCCCAAAATTACTAAAGAGACAAACTATATTTGCCCTCATAAACATACCGACTAATACTGTAATAGAATAAAGGAATGCCTCTTAGTTCAAAATAGTGAGGTGGTTCTGCCATTTGAGTTCAGGGAACTACATACTTGTTCTGATCAATAGGCACGTTACAAACATTTTAAAATATTGTTCATATAATTTTAGTGTGAAGCAATAGCAGACAAAAAAGAAAAAAAGAAAGAAAAAAAAACACACACCACTAAAGTTTTGGATATGCAGCTGATTATCGATGGAAACAATTTTCTTTGTTTTTTACTGTAAATTTTGTCATAATTTACATATTTTGCAGTTTTGAAGACCTGTGTTTTTGTAGTTTGGTGGTTCTTTTTAACTGAAGATAAAGCAAGATAAAATTTATGAATATTATATACTGTCAAAAGAAAAAAGATTGATATTACTTTTGATTAACTTGATCCACTAATGAAAATATTCTATTCTTTTAGAAGAAACACCAGGAATATTAGCCTACATTTTAATAATTATTGTTAATACCTCTTTGAATACGCTTAGTCATTTTTCCATAGATGAATAATTCCTAAGCTTCACGTATCGGATAGATATTAGATGCTATTGAAGTGTTTGAGATAAAGTTGGTGTATTTAATATGACAATTTAAAATGAAATGGAGGGTTTACCTAACTTTGTAGAGTGTAACAAGAAATGTATTTTGAATTTGTGTTCATATGCCTGTTGTAATTTGAGGATGGTATCCAACTGCCACAACTGTTTATGCTGGGAACATTGTAAAACGTGTGCTTACTAATTTCATGTAAGATTTAATTTAGTTAAGTATTTCAAGCACATGTGTTAACTGAAAATACTTGTTTTCTGAATGATAGTAATATTTAGCGAAGTTTTAATGGGGAGGAGGGGGGCAGTTTACAAATATATGCCGAAAATCCTACAATTATATCATTGATATGCAAGTGAAACTCGCTTAAGTGCATTTTTGATGTTTTTCAGTTACTTGCACATCTAAATCACATCTACAGTATTTTCATTAGTGAAACCATTAAAGTCCTGGAGTTTGGATATACTAAAGTATCGATTCCTTTCTCTTTACTATCTCGCTGCCACAATGCAGTAGAGAGAAAATTATGTAACAAAAACAGACTTAAGTCATGTAACTGGTGAAATAGTTGAGACCATTATCAGATTCTTCTATTCGATTAACTTCAAAACACATTTTTTGGACTTAAAGAGTTTCACTTGTAGACTGACATTACATTTTGTCAATATAGGATTCTCTTTGAGTATTCAATCTTTGTTCCTTTTTTAAAATTTTTGGCATAAATTCTTGTTTCCATTTCCTATTACAACTATTATTATTGTCCAAGTTCTCTGCGGAATGTTTCCAGCATTATTCTGTTCTTTAGGCAAGGTGAAAACTGAAAGAAAAAGTACATCCCATGGTGGCCACTTCTTGGAAAACTGGGGAAAATGAGGGAATTTTGGAAGAATCATTAAAGTTGGGGAACTTTTGAGTTAGATACTTGCCCTTCAATAACAAAAAAAATTTTAAAAAAATAGTTATTTGTTGTGAAAGTTTTGTTTATTTGTACTTTATCACTGATATTAAAGAGCAGGCAATTAGTATCAGGCTTGCTTTAAATATTTTCTTTCAATGTGTGAAATTACAAATCTTGTTAGTGGGAGGATTTAAAACTGCACTGGTCAAACGGGAAAAGTCAGGGAAATTTCTTCCAGGAAATGAGTGGTCTCCTTGCTTCTGTTTCTGTGAAAACAGCAGACTGTTAATGAATTGTGACCTGAACTTCCAAAGCCGTCTCCCTGATACATATAACTAATTGTGAGGCAAGAAGAT